TCGACCAAGAAGAACATCGACCTGGTGCCATTTTCCCTGTTGCATAACCATTGTGGCTGAAACTCCATGGCTCATTCAAAGTTATCCAATTTTTTACTCTATCTCCATACTCCTTGAAGCAAAGCTCTGCATAATCCTGGAAATCTTTCCTGTATTCAAAAACATGTGATCTTTAGAAAAAGTTCCCAAATAATTTAGCAATGTATTCAAGTGAAAATGTTAAATTGCATCTCTTACACGATGCGAGGACTTAAAAAGCCACCATATTCATCTTCCAAAGATTGAGGAAGATCCCAATGGAAAAGTGTTACAAATGGTTGTAATCCTGAAATTATGTTAATATTTTATTAGTATTTTATTGTCATCATCAATAACTTTGAGAAATTGCTAAAATGCAAAACATAATAAAAATATCAATAATAAAGTTTTTGTTCTGACCATTTGCCACAAGCTCGTTGATAAGGTTGTTGTAATAGTCAATTCCTTCTTGATTTATGCCTCCACTTAGCCTTCCATCTGTGGATTATATTCAGTTTATGAAAATAAATAAATGGTTAAAATAAAACATCCAAACTGAAAAATTTTAGTCCAAAATAATGATTATCTATATTTGACTTACTCGGAAGTAATCTAGACCAAGATATGGAAAATCTGTAGGCATCCAAATTCATATCCTTCATAATCCCAACATCTTCCTGCAATATTTTATGGAACAAGACATCACCACCTTTGCTTGAAAATGGATAAAAAAAAAAGGTACCAACATTTATTTTAATTTTTTATTGTTTAAAATTTCATTCTGCGTTGAACTTCCAAGGTCTAGTCAAGTTTTTAATTAATAAACAATCAGCTTATGTTGTTGTAATGTTTCAAATACTAGTGGCAATTACTGATAGAAGTCTACATGATGATCGTGATAAGAAAATTATATAAACAGCTTCACTTCAATTCATATTTTACTATGAAAATAGCTAATAAGCTTTAATAATATTTCCATTGATAAACTACATAAAAAAACAAAAAACTTTAAATCGGCAATACCTTGTAGCGATGGTACGAATCTACTGCAACATCTCCATTGCTTCTGTCCTCAATCCTATCTGCAAACAATTAGCATATAGAATGAACCATTGTACAGATTTTGTAAAAAGATGTCTATTATTACAATATGAGAGAACCAACCTGGATATTTATGGGTGAAGGTATCCCAAACACTTGGTCCTCTACCACCTTCATTTGCTGCACCTTCATACTGCATAAGTGTACATACATAATCATTGTAACTGAACAGCACAAAAATAAAACTGATAGAAAGAACTAAAACATTTTAACTTGCAACATGGAAGGTGTTTCATGTGGTGTTGAACATTGATAAAACATAATCATTAATATTATGATGTGCGTGTACCTGGTACGCTGAGGATGCTGTCCCAAAGATGAAGCCAGTTGGGAAACTGTTCCGATTCAACAAAGCTATTTCTGGAGTGAGGGCAATGCTTTCTGTGACAGTAATCAATGAGGAAAGTAAAGCAATCAGAGGTAGAAGTACGTCTTCTTTGTATGCCATATTTGCTTAATTGTTTTTCAGTTTTCTCAGCAAATGTGTTCCTTTTATAGAAGAAAACCTGAACCAACTTTCACATTTTATCCACAAACATCCAATATTTTCTCCTCAAAGAAAGAAAAATCAAATCAGACAGCGATGTTTTCTTTGAGGTATGTGGCGCCTGGTCATTGGTCAGAATTGAAGATTACCAACTTGGACAAGGATTTACGATAGACTCTATTATCACGTAAACTAACATGAAAATCATAAGTTTATATGGACGAAAACTCGACGATTGTAATTTTATAAAAATATATATTTTTGTTTTTATCCAACTTTTATTTGAACAGTTTCAAGTTCATCCATAAATATATGAATCATCATCAAAGCTATATAAGAGTAATATTACGACTACAATTTGAAACTAAACATTTTATCTTCTAAGAAGTTTTCAAAAATATAAATGAAAAGTTTTAAGGAACAATCTCTCATGGTCAACAAATTCGTCTTACGTAAAACTTTGGTCTAATATCATTATGTGTAAGTTTTCATTCAAAAACTATTGAATTATTAGTAATATTAAACGCAATATATTTTTAAAGGAGTATTAATACCACGAATAATTGAATAATTTTACAAAATAAATAAAATGTTTGTTAATAATAATTTAATTGAATTTAACACATTTAATAATTTGTTCTTTCCCATAAAACTTTGATTTTATTGCTAAATGCAATGAATAAAATTTGCACCACAAATATTATTTTTATTGGTAATAATAATTTTATTTTATAATGAAACATAATGAATAAATTCGAAATATTAATTGTATTATAGTAAATGCACTCAACATGTCAAAACTAATTTGTGTCAAAAAATTTATAAGAAAATCTTAAGATACTTTATGAATTTTTCCACCATCGAAATATTAATCCTCTTGAAACATAGAAAATCTTATAGATTTACTACTTAGTAGAACTATGTAATTTCAATTTTTTAAACATATAATATTTCTCCATTGAAAACTCAGAAGTATATAAATGTAAAAGAAATTGTGCAGCATACGTGTAATACGAGTAATTTTCTTTCAAGATTAACTTTATGTTAAATATATATATATATATATATATATATATATATATATATATATATATATATATATCATACTTTTTAATATTTTTTGTTAAAAAATTTAGTCCATGTTTTTTTAAATGATTTTTTTTCACATAAGATTAATACTAGATTTGGTGCATGCATGTTGTCCACGCACACACAATGTCACCAAGTTATTGAAGACAAAAGCTCCCATTACATTCAAATTTATATTTTTTTCTAACTTGAGAATCATACGTAAACATGAATTGCGAAACTAATCAAAGACCTCTCATGAGATTCAATCTATTTTAGGTAATATTTTTTTCGCGTATTAAAAATAAATTATAAATGTTTATTAAATCAAACTTTAAATTTGGATCATTCAATAATAAAATTTGACGGTTAAATTTTTCTTTCCATATAATTTTCTAACATGTGTGTATTATGTAAAGAAAATAAGTAATTGGATAACCTAATAATTTTGCCATATGAGGGTGGAAAAGAAAAAGCAGAAAATGATTTTATTGAATAATTATATGGATAAATACTGGTTGAGTAGTTATTATTCTCATTAGAAATTGGGTCAAACCTTTATCTAATGTTTACTTCAAAATTAATCCGCATGACTTGTTTGATTGGGAATTTGGTCCAATTCATTCATGCACTACGTTAGAATTCATGCATGAGTTAAAATGATTTTAAAATTCTAGATTTTGAAACGAAAATACAATGTTCTTACATTTACATGTCTCATTTTATGAAAAAATAACTTTACATTTTCAATCTCTGCATTTCTGCTGATGCTTCCATTTTAGGTTTCATTTCATTTCACTGATGTTGTTGACTTTATTTGAAACCTTGCTCTTTAATTTACTGGAATAATAGCATACATAGAAGTTTTGTTTCTGATAAAAATTATATATATATATATATATATATATATATATATATATATATATATATATATATATATATATATCTGTTGAGTTTAACTGAATTTGTTAGAATTTCATGGTTGGATCTTCATCTGAAACGTGTCTAAGACTGGACATTCTCGTTTTCGAACAAGTCGTATATTATCCGTTACTATTGTCGGCAAAGTTTTTCTTTTTTGGTGAGTGTTTGTTCGCGTTTTCGGGTTCAGCATGCATAGTTGACCAATTTCCTAAACCCTAAAAACCACACCATTAGCCACGTCATACTTCGTTATCCAACCACGCTTTGTATACGTGTGAATGAATCATTAAAAAAGATACGTACTTATCATATGTTCGTTTCTTAATTCATAAAATTATGTCATTGTGTAAATTATTGTTAACTTAAACATTTTATAGCAGTTTAAAATATCTATTAAAATAAGATCTATTGCAAAAATATCACATTTAAAGATGTTTACAAATATCTCATCTAAAATTCATCATCAAAATTTTATCCTTAAATAGTAGGTCAACGTAAAAGTATTATACAATTATTATTAGTTTTTTCAACTCTAAAAAAATATAAAAAAGTTTGATGTTTCAACCAAATCTTCCAATTAATGCTAAGAGAATAATCTAAGTTCTCCCTTCACAACTAACATTTCAACATTGTTAAAGTTATAATATCCAAATTATTTTATTGCTTTTTACATTTAATAAACTGTAACAATTCTATTCTTAAAACATATACAGTTAAAAAAATAAGAGTATTTGTAAATTATTTTTTAGTTCCAACTTTTAAATATTATTCGACTTTTTGAGCAAAAATAATATTACAAATTTACGACATCCATAATAGATAAAAAAAAAACACAAATCAAGGACTTACCATCATTCTCATTTTTTCCGATAAAGCCAGTGTTATTAAAAAATGTTGTATACACGTATAATTTTAAAAAAATTGGAGTGATAATATAATCATTCTGTGTTGAAGAATTTGGTGGTGTGATTAATGGGTTATGTAATTTCATTTGCATCTATACATATTCGCGGGGCATGATTAATTAGTAGTAGGTTTGTGTTCAAATATTATTTTGATCGGTGATACAATAATATTATACATATAATAATAAGTGAGGATAAATTTAATTTTATTAAATCGATTTTATAAAATTAAGTTAAGTATTGATTTGTAGTTGTAGAAATTGCATTAGTAGGATATTATATATTTATAGCTTGGTTAAAATAAATGGAAACGCATCATCAAATCAAGCTTAATTATAATGTAAAATTGTATATGTAGATTTGAAATTCCAATAACTCTAAATCTAAAATACATTTATGAGAACTAGAACTGCATAACAAATTACTCAAGAGTTGAAATAATCCTAACAATTACATATTTACAAATATAATTGCTCAGGGAACTTCATTTTGCAGCACTATTTCATGGAATCTTGAAGTTTGAATTCCGCTTTGAGAAAATCCTTGAACCATAGAGCAGAAAGTTTGGGGTATCTTTTCAAGTCATTTCTGTAATCTATAAAATTCATTCCAAATCGCATAGTGTAGCCTGAGTTCCATTCAAAATTGTCTAAGAGTGACCATACAAAATACCCTTTTACATTTACACCATTCCTGTATTTACATTGAAAGAAAAGAGTTAGAAAAAAAAAAATCCATGCAAACAACAAAATTTATTTATAAAAATACTTACCCAATTGCTTCCTCAAGATAATAAAGATGACGATAATGATAATCAATCCTATAAATATCCAAGAGAGATTCTTCAAGTGGTAATGATGGATCATCATACTCATTTATACCTATATGGAAAATGCAAATTATGTCATATATTTGTTTCACTTTGTATAGAGTATAAAATCTCATAGGACATGTCTTTTTCATCATATATATTATTTATAACTTGTTTTTAATAGTATTAAACGGGAAATAAATGTGATATTGAAGGTTATTTACCATTTTCAGTAATATAAATCAAAGGATTGTTGTATTTGTCTTTAGTGTATAACAAAAGGTCACGAAATCCTCTTGGATAAACATACAACCAATCTGAAGCAACCTGCATAATCATCATAAACATCTTCGTTATCAGAAAAAGATGCTATATAAACTAGTAAAGAATTTACAGTTTTATATCACCTACATTTAGACCAATAGCCTTTCCATCACGCACAACTGCATTGACATAAACAAAAAAGGCATGTAATTATCTATAAACATCAGATCCAACATGTATATACAGTTTATATATAACTGAAGCGTAGATATTAAGTAGACAAGTTTGCTTACAAGAAAAATTTGCAAGGGAATCTGTTAGGTAATTTTTGACATTTCTTAATTCAGGTGCATCAGAGACATATCTTGCAGTGTAGTAGTTTAAGCCAATAAAATCAAATGAATTAATAAGTAATCTGCATTGTTTCTCTGTAAACTTTGGTAATCGTGATTTCACCAAAGAACGCATGCTTTTTGGATATTCTCCTCTTGTCAATGGATCCATAAACCTACAGTAGTACAAACAAATAAAATAAATGAACAATCTGTTAATGTATATAATATATTCTTAGCATGGTAACCCTGCTAATTTGATCACTGTTAGAGTGCTTTTTTCAGTTCATTATACAAACCATTGAAGAAGTATAGTCAATCAAACCCAGAAAAGATGAATTCATTCCTTGTTAATATAACTGTAACATTATCCTTAGTAAAGTTGACAGTAATCCTAAACTTACTTGATTTGTACCTTATTTGTTTCCCACACACCAATCTAGCTATTTAATGTCAATTTTGAAGATGAGGATTGGAGAGAAGCACTTTACCATCCAAATGTGAAGTCAATAGCTCGTTCAGTAGCCTTTTGATCAAGTTTATTTTCCGAGAGTGGCAGGGACCAAATAAAATTCAAGATTATGCCTATGAAACCATTTTGAAATTTCTGCAACCACAGTTCTGTCGTTAAAAATTATTCCAAAAAAATACGTTCAAGTCCAAGAAACTTAAGCTCTACAAGGTTTGCCAAATAATAATTAACTCACCTGATATTTGGTCTTGTACACATTAACAGCTGCTGCATGAGCAAGAAGTTGGTAATGGGTGACCAAATAGGGTTCTATTCCAGAATCACCACCATTGCAACTAGGATTCAACCATGCAGAACATCGACCTGGTGCCATTACCCCTGTTGTATAACCTTGTTCGCTATAAGCCAATGGCTCATTCAAAGTTATCCAATTTTTTACTCTATCTCCAAATTCCTTGAAGCAAAGCTCTGCATAGTCCTGGAAATCTTTCCTGTATTCATCAAATCATGTGATCTTTACAAAATTGTCCCAAATGTTTTAGCAAAGTATTCGAGTGGAAATGTTAAATTGCATCACTTACACAATGCGAGGACTTAAAAAGCCACCATATTCATCTTCCAAAGATTGAGGAAGATCCCAATGAAAAAGAGTCACAAATGGTTGTAAACCTGAAATTATGTTAATATTTGATGATTGGTATATATATTTAGTATGTTATCATAGTCAGTAAACATGAAAAACTGCTAAAATGTAAATCTTAATAAAAATATTAACAAAAATTTTGTTCTGACCATTTTCCACTAGCTCATTGATAAGGTTGTTGTAATAGTCAATTCCTTCTTTATTTATACCTCCACTTAGCTTTCCATCTGTGGATATATTAGTTTAAGAAAATAAATAAATTATTAAAAAAAAAATCCAAACAGGTAAATTTTAGTCCAAAATAATCTTTATATTTGACTCACTTGGAAGAATTCTAGACCAAGATATGGAAAATCTGTAGGCATCCAAATTCATATCCTTCATAATCCCAACATCTTCCTGCAATATTGTATGCAACAAGGCATCACCATCTTTACTTGACAACGATGGAAAACAAAAGATAAAACATTTTATTTTAATTTTTTTATTGTTTAAAATTTCTTTCTTAGTTGAACTTCCAACAATCTAATCGGTTTCTTATTTAACAATTAAACAATTAAATTTGTAATAAATGTTTTATAGTTTAATAAACAAATTACGCGTTGTAATCATTGATAGAAGTTTACGTAATGATTGTGATTGGAAAACTAAAAAAAAAAGCATCTTTAGTCCAATTCATATCATATTATGCAAATAATAATTGAGCCTTAATTTATTCAACAGTACTTTTCATTATATTTTTTTCAATAAACAGCGAATCAATTTAAAAGGTAAAGGGTATCAACCAATATACAGAACCAATAATGCTTATTTACTTCCTAATCATCAACATTAGGCTTTCTCCCTCGTTGAAATAACACCATTTAAAATTGTATTGATATTCATTGAATTTCATACCAGCAAAAAAGAAAGATTCAGCCACACCAATTTATAAACATGCAGTAAGGTTAGAAATCCATGTAATTAGCAATGACAACTGATAAATTTCATCAGAAGAAACTAAAGTTTGAATCGGCAATACCTTGTAGCGATGATAAGAATCAACGGCAACATCTCCACTGTCTCTGTCCTTTATCTTATCTGCATGTGAATTAGCATATGAACACTTTTGGATATGAGAGAAGCAGAATATATGTGTGTGTACCTGGATATTTATGAGTGAAAGTATCCCAAATACTTGGTCCTCTACCACCTTCATTTGCTGCACCTTCATACTGCATAATACATACATAATCATATGAAACTGAAAAGCACTTGAAAAAGAACTAAAACATTATATCTATTGTAAGGTAGAAAGGTGTTTGATATGAAGTTGACTTGAAAATAATAATGATAAATTTGTACCTGGTACGCTGAGGATGCTGTCCCAAAGATGAAGCCAGGTGGAAAACTGTTCCGATTCAACAAAGCTATTTCTGGAGTGAGAGCAACAGCTTCTGTAATAGTAATCAATGAAGAAACTAGAGCAACGAGAGGTAGAAGAAAATAAAAATAATATCTGTTGTATGCCATATCTGCTAAATTGCATTTCATGTGTCAAATGCGTTGCTTTTATAGAGGAACACGTGTTCCAACCTTCACGTTTTATCTATGAGCATCGAATATAGAAAATCAAATCAGACAGCGATGTTTTTTTATTAAAGGTAGGGTTTCTGGTCATTGTCAAAAAAGTTACCCTTTACAAGAATTTTACTCTGTACTTTCTTATCAGGTTGCATGTATATATCCTTTAAATAATTATCATACAAAATTTTAATAGAATTATATGTTTAGAGTTTCAAATCAAAAAACTATTGATCAATAGATTTATAATAAGTTTTGCTAAACATATAATGAAGGTCAAACCTATGTCTGTGAACATTTTTAAGGAATAAAGTCTCATGGTCATCAAATCTGTTCTTATTTAACGCTCACGTCAAATTTTCGTCGTTTGCTGTAACAGCTATTTGCAACAGTTCGCATGTTGAGTCGTCGCCATCAAAGCTCGTGCGTCAATTATTACTATGTTTTCTTTCAGAAGCTATTAATCATTTTTAATATTAAATGTAATATACATTAAAGAGTATCAATACCACAAGCAACTTATTAATTTTATAAATAAATACACTTTTCTAATAATTTAATACAATGAATTAAGTAATATGGTTTATCTTTAAAAGAAATACATATCGACATTTACTCATCATAAGAAACTAAAAGTATCCCAACCACTAGTCATGATTTATCAATAATGTGCAACCATGTCAATAGTAATGTATTATTAAAAAGGTTTTTAACCAGTTAAATAAAATAAATATTTTATCTTTTTTAATAATATAATAAGATACTTAACATAAAATAAAGTTATTAACAATTATAAACATTTTTAAAAATAATTACGATGATAATAAATATGGTAATTATGGTCATAATGAAAATCGTCATGTCGAAAGTAATAAAACTACTTAGATTAGTTTCTTAGCATTTCGTGGTTGGATCTTCATCTGAAACGTGTCTAATACTGGACATTCTCGTTTTTGAACAAGTCATATATTATCCGTTACTATTGTCGGCAAAGTTTATCTTTTTGGTGAACTTTTGTTCTCGTTTTTGGGTTCAGCAAAACGCGGTAACGTACCTCAATTCTTATGCATAGTTGACCAGTTTTCTAAACCCTAAAAAAAACACCATCAGCCACGTCGTAATTTGTTATCCAACCACGCTATGTATGCGTGTGAAAGAATCATTAAAAATACATACTTATCATATATTATTTTCTAATTCATAAAATTATTTGCCAAATTTAATTAGGAATATATATATTTATGAGATTTTTTACATTTTTTATTTTAATTTTTTATTTCTGATTAAAGTCAATATTACAGTTAATAAAATTGAGTTGTTTTTAATTTAGGTTGCTACGATATTTTTCAGTTTTAATCTCAACAGTATGTTATCGGAGCCGCGGCCTCGTACAATCTTCTTTGTCATTTTGCAGCAATAAAGAAAATGACTGCATATAAGGGAGTTTTATTCAATCGGCTATCCCCAGTTTTGATGATCCTTATGATGTTAATGGAAAATTTCCTTCAAACTAAGGAATATTGGGAGTTGATTGAACCTGATACGTAACTCTAGCAAGCGAAACAATATCAACAGAACAACAAGAGAATAATGATGAGATGGAATTGAAAGAACTAAAAATAAAGAATTATCATTTTAAGTCAATTGATCAAATTGTCTTTGACACTATTCTTAAGGACATGTCTAAAGAAATATGGATGCTACGAAGAAGAAGTTTGAAGAGAATGCAAGGGTGAAAGATCTGATATCTTCAAGCTCTCCGTAGATAATTTGCAGTTTTTGAGAAAAAGTTTAGTGAAGGAGCTACAGAGTAATTCTCTAGAGTTATGACTGTTGCCAATGCAAATTTATGAAGAAGATAGGTTACATGTTTAAAGTGGTGAAAAAAATTCTAACATCAGCTGAAAAGTTTAACTATATTATATGTTCAATTCAAGAGTGAAACGACATTGATGTTCTTTCTAATAGTTTATTGATAGTACATGAACCAAAATTCCAAAGGAACAATTGTAAAGAACAAGTTCTCAAGTAACCTTGAAGGAGGAAGGGGAAGGGGTCGTGGTCAAGACAAAAGAAAAGGAAGAGGTAGAGGTACAAGCCAACTTCAAGGCAACCATAGAGTGTCATTAATGTCATCAATTTGGGCATTTTCGCTATGAATGTCCTTAGAATAAAGAAGCACAATATGCATAGATTGATGATAATGATGAAGAAATACTTTTGATGTTCTATGTGGAGATGTACGAGGTTAAAAAAGAAGATGTTTGGTTTCTAGACTCGGACTATTCCAATCACATGTGTGATAATCTATTTCTGTTTAATGAAATTGATGAAAAATTTCGTCATTATGTAAAATTAGGGAACAACTCCAAGATGAATGTGAAGGGAAAAGGAAATATTGATCAATGGAGTTAATTTTATTGTTACTGATGTCTATTATATCCATAAGTTGAGCAATAACTTATTAAGCATTGGACAATTATAAGAAAAAGGTTTGACCATTTTAATTAAGGGAGGGATTTGTAACATATTTCATTCGGATAAAGGGTTGGTAATCCAAAACAACATAAGTGTCAATATGATATTTATATTATTACCTCTCATACATAATCTATTCAATATTTTCAAACGAAAAGTCAAAGTTTATGTCAACTTTGGCATGGGAGGTATGGACATTTGACTTAAGAGGACATGCAAATATTACAATCCAAAGGAAATGGAGCATGGTGAAACAAGGAATTAACAGGGGAGCCGTATATGGTATTGATTCGACAATGATCCAAATAACAATAGTCTGTATTATGCTTTCTAAGAAAAATTAAATGAAACACAACAGAATCAAGGATTGGAAATTGCTGTGATGTATGAAGGTTCCGCCTGAAGCAAAGAAAAAGTGGAGTCAGGTAACAGAATGGAGAATGAAAGAGAATTAGTGAATATTCTGCAGAGAGAGAAAAAACCGAGAGGAGAGAGAAGGTTCATACCAAAAACCTGCTTCTATCCAATATCAAAATCCCTTAAAAGCACACTCTCTCTACGTGGCCTAGTGTTTTTCCTCGTGTCCTTCTTTTGCTGATCCTGGTCCACGTGTCCCATTGATTCCACTACATTCTCTGTGCCCATTCTACTTGTTACAATACCCTTCCCATTAACAACAACCTTGCCCTCAAGGTTGAATTGAGGATAAGCTTGTTGAAATTCATCCAGATCTTCCCAAGTAGCTTCCTCAGGTTCCGTAGAGTGCCACTGTACCAACACCTGTTGTACTTCAATGGAATTGCGCTTTATAATTCTTTTATCCAACACTGTTATTGGATTCAAGATAGGTCCAAACTCAGTGGTGGTCAAAGGTAGGGGTAAATATTGGTTAGACTGTATTCCCATAAACTTTTTGAGCAATGAGATGTGGAAAACAGGATGAATCCGAGCTGTATCAGGAAGCTTTAATTTGTAAGCCACTGGACCTATCTTCTCCAGTACTTCAAATGGTCCAAAAAAACGCATGCCTAATTTTTTATTCTTTCTAAGAACCACCGAATGTTGTCTATATGGCTGCAACTTTACTAATGCCAAATCACCAATTTGCAGATGGAATTCTCTCCTTTTCTTATTTGCCTGTACTGTCATATAATTTTGAGCCTTCATCAAGTTGGTCTTGAGTTGTTGCAACACTTTGTCTCTAGTGATTAAAGACTCTCTAATGGTAGGAAGATCTGTGGAATTGACTTCATAAGGAATGACCGAGGGTGGTTATCTACCAAATACAGCTTTAAAGGGGCTCATTCTTATGCTGTGGTGGTAGGAAGAGTTGTACCAGTATTGTGCCCAAGGAAGCATAGAGTACCACAACTTGGGATTATCAAACACATAACACCTCAAATACATTTCCAATGTCTTGTTAAGTACCTCAGTTTGTCCGTCACTTTGGGGATGATATGCAGAGCTCATCGCCAAAGTTGTGCCTTGAGCTTTAAATAAGTGCTGCCAAAATGAACTGATAAAGATTCTATCTCTGTCTGATACAATAGTTCTCGGAAAACCATGCAGCTTTGCCACATTATTAATAAAAGCTTCTGCTACACTTTTACTGGTAAAATGGGCTTTCAAAGCAATGAAATGCCCAAACTTAGAGAGCCTATCAATGACTACCAAAATAGTAGAATAACCATGTGAAGTGGGAAGATTTGTAATGAAATCCATGGCTATGTCTTCCCAAATCTGTTGAGGTATTGGCAATGGTTGTAACAGACCATAGGGTAAAGCTTGGTCCACTTTAGCTTGTTGACAAATACTGCAATGTCGTATATAAGCCTTGATATCATCTTGCATTTTTGGCCAATAAAATTGATTGCAGATTCGGGCTATAGTCTTTGTATTTCCAGCATGACCACCCACTTTCGAGTCATGAAATTCCTGCATAATATGGTTCTTCAAATCCTTATCAGCCGGTATCATCAATCTTCCTCTTCTAAAAAGCATTCCATCTTTAACAACAAACTTGTCCATAGGCAATATGCCTTGAGTATGCTGCATCATCAACTTACTTAACTCAGCATCTTGCATAGTCATCTCAGGAATCTGCTCTAACCATGTAAATTTGGATTCTGACCAGCCCAGAAAACAACTTCGAGATAAAGCATCAGCTGGTATATTCTCTCTACCAGGCTTATATTGTATAGTGAAGTCATATCCTAAAAACTTAGGTAACCATTGTTGTTGTTCAGGAGTTTGCAACTGCTGTTCTAGCAACTCTTTCAAGCTTTTCTGATCTGTTCTAATGATGAACTTGTTTCTCAACAAATAATGTCTGAACTTAGTCAAAGCCTCTGTGATGGCATGAAATTCTCTTGTATAAGCAGACTGTTTCTGCATTCTGGGGGAAATTTTCTTGGAAAAGTAAGCAATTGGATGTTGAGATTGGCTAAGGACAGCACCAATTCCAAATCCAGATGCATCAGTTTCTAACACGA